GTTGAGATTTTATTTAAAAACTACACTATAATAGTAATAAATATAACATGTTCAGTTCCAGTCCCTTTATTACTTAAAAAAAATGCTATTTGAAATTTATAAAAACAATTGAAAAGCTTAATGTTAAGAGGAGCATTCACACATCTTGAGGTTTCAGGAGTGCAAAATTTCAGTTACTTGTTATGAGAAACCAATTTATTATTATTTGTTTTTTAGATGAAGGTGTCTTTTGGCATATCATTATATATATGTGACACTCATTATCACTGCCATACATAGTTACATAATACATTGCTAATAACTAACTACTTTATGAACATCTTCACTTCAGAGGCTTAAGCCACTATTACTAATTAAAGTATGATATCATATGATGATGATTGATGTTGAACTTAATCCTGTACAATCTGCAATATGTTTATTGTTGATTTGTTCTCTTCAAAGAAATATCTAAAGTAAACAGGTAACATGCATATATGCTGAGCTACAAGGTATGAATACTTAAATGGGGAGATATAAATGAAGGAGTAATAGGAGTAGGGCAGGGGCCAAGGTAACTCTACTCGACAGGTGTGTTTTATTAATAGTTCTTATAAGTTGGCAATGTTAATTCATAATATCGAGTTATGAAACACTGTTTTTGGTGCTCAGAATGTATGTCATTTCTCCAGTCTGTGTGAATTGTGTCTTGTGTTCTGTATAATGTTTAAATATACAGATAATCAGGATTCCACAAAGTCATTCTATTGTGTTGAGCTGTTTGGGGCAAGTGTTGACATTCTTGTGCACGGTGCATTTACGAAAATTCGTACTCTATTTTAAATTTGAGCAACACCTAAAGGCAGAGGAAATTACTTACTACAATATATATTGTATACCCGTGCCATCATACTTTTTTCAGTTGATCCACTGATGAACGTGGCCACATTAGTAATTTACCTCTCTGATTACAGATGAAAACCTTCCAATATACTTACTTCTCAAGTATGAACAGCCTGCTTTTCCTTTTTTTACATTTCATGGTAACAGAATAGTGCTTTTTGTGCTTATATAGGGTGTCCCACTTGGAGGTATTCATTATATTTTCTTGATTATTACAATAATGTACAACTTTACAGTTGAAACTGATATGGGACAGTTAGTCTTTGAAGTTTTGTTTAGTACAATTTTTAATATAATATAATTATATGATTTTTGTCATCTTATGCTGAAGAAGCAACAGGAGGATCCAACATTGATACAGAAGTGTACATTTTCAAATATGGTGACTTTCCATTTAGCTGGCAGAGTTAACAAACATAATTTCTTAATTTTGGGCACAGAGAAGTCACAAACGACTCATCAATGCATTCGAGACTTGCTAAAAGTGAATGTGTGGTGTCTTTTGACATCTTCTTACATCATTGGACTATTTTTCTTCGATGGAAAACTGTCAATACAGGAAATGTACCTGAACATGTTAATAACATTTTTGGTGCCTGAAGTATGCAGAAAACATACATTGTATTCAATTCATTTGCAGGAAGATGGTGCTTCTCCACATTTCTCATGAGATGTTCATGATTTCCTTGATGCAACATCCCCATACAAATGAATCAGTTGAATTAGACCTATTGCTTGGGACTGAAATCCCCAACCTCTTTCCCTATGACTTCTTTTGTGGGGTTTCATCAAGAACAGTGTTTATGCCATGCGTTCACATAGATGAGCTATAAGATTGCTTCATTAATATTGTTCAGGATATATCTCATGTCATATGAGCAAAAGTTATGAATAATTTTGTTAAATGTCTCTAGAAGTGTGTTGAAAGAGAAGGTGGACATGTTGAGTAAGTATTAAACAAAACTTCAAAGACTACACTAACTGTCCTGTATCAATTTCAACTGGAAAGTTGTACATTATTGTAATATTCTTTAAAATAAAATGAGTGCCTCTGAGTTGGACACCCTGTATATTATGCTTTTGTATTCCACCAATAAAAAAGACAGCCATAGAAAGACTGTTTGAACCTTTTATAGTTTTTTAAATATTTTTAAGTCTCATTTAATTATTCTGTGCTCTATGGAGAACAAGACTGTAGTATTATATATTTTATTAATCTATGGTGAACTATTTATTTAAAAGGGTTGATAGTGACTTTAATAAAGTTTCTAACATTATTCTTTGAAATATTATATTTAAAACTTGATTTGTTATTTTTTTCTAACACATGCATCACAAAAAGTTGTAACATAGGCAACCATCTGTGTTCTAACCTGATTACATTTGGAAGGCTTTTGTTATTTACCACCTGCTTCAGTGCAGACTTATACAGGTTTATCTTTCATGAAGGTTTTATATGATAAATTTGGCTGTTTCTATTCCAGGTGAAATAGAGAGGTGTATGAAAAAGGTGTCTGAAGGTGTTGAAACATTTGAAGACATCTGGCAGAAAGTAAGAAGAAGTTTTACAAATAAAATAAGTAGAAAAAATATTAAAGTAGGAGTATAGAATTTTGGAAAGATGTTTAATTGTATGGGTAAAAAAAAAAAAGGTTGATTTAATCATAGTGGTTTAATGTTAGTAGAACGCATTTTCAGTTTGTTTTCCTCAAGTATATTTTCAAAATTTTGACTGAAGCGTAAAATTATAACTGCATTTACTTAACCAATGTGATTTTATATTTCCATCTTATATTTGGAGTTAAAAATTGAATGAGGCGGCAAGATAGGTAAATTCCTTTACTAAGATTATGCTGAAAATATTTGAACTAAATGCCAACTTTCCAATTGCTTCTCTAAATCACTTCTGATTGTATGTACTTAAACTTACAAAGGTGAGAGATGTAGTTCTTGGTAGATACAGAAGCCAAATGCAGTAGGCTAAATAGTTAAAATATATCTTCTGGCAAATGCTAGGGGGCTAGCCTTTAGCTCAGTTGGTAGAACACTTACCTAGCGTGTGATAGGTCTTGGGTTCAGATCTGGTGTGAGGAAATATATATATCATGTCAATATTATACCATACTGGTGCATAATGTGTGGACTGAATTTAGACCAGAGGATGGGCCTTGTTTGTAAGATGGGAAGAATACAGTTGTTTGAGTATTTAAAAAGTCTTTTAGTAGGAAGTGCTAGGAGGGTTAGCCCTTTAGCTTAGTTGATAGAGCATTCACCTCAGGTGAGATGTCTTGAGTACAAATCCAAAGCAAGGAAATATATATGTCGTATAAAAATGAAAATACCACTTAGATTTCAACAATTTACAAACAATAGAAGTCAAAGTAATTAACTAACAGTTTCCCATATCACCACACTTCTGTTTTCTCAGGTGTCCATTATGTTGCTGGCATTTAATGAAGTTTGTCTGTTGTTTATATTAATTGAAAATTCAACTCCAATGCATGTACTGCATTAGAGTTATACATTTTTCTCCACTTTCCTTCTTCTTCACCATTTTTCTGAACTCTACTCTTTCCAACAAGCTTAGCTACAGGCTATGTTTTTATATTTTTGTAACAGGTGTTATGGAGTGAGAATTTTTGGATTACTTGGTAAAAATAATGCTAAGTCCAGTCCATGTAACAATAATTGATCTCACTAATTAATGTTGGGAAAAATTAACAACAACAAAGCAGTATCAATATTGCATTGATCTCACTAATTACTGTTGGTAAAAAAAACAACAAGAACAAAGTGGTATCAATATTGCATTAATCTCACTAATTACTGTTGCTAAAAAAAAAACGGTATCAATATTGCATTGATCTCACTAATTATTGTTGCTGAATCTAGGTAATAAAGACAACGGATAAAAGGTTAATCAGAAAATAAGATAAAGAAAATTACACAAACAGGTAAAAAAGTCAAAAAAGTATTTTGGAAAATATATTACTGCAACCCCCCCCCCCCAGCATAACAAAATATAGATAATGTACCTGATTACCAATTAAACAAATGGAAATAAAGAAAAAAGCAATAATTAAAAACAGACAATTACAATCAAATAATCATTGTCCAGAGTACAATAAAAAAGTATGCATTCACATTCCTTAAACTATGTTATGTATTATTTTAAAAATTCATCTTGCACTGAATAATATTCAACACTGTTGCCTAAATCTACTTTATAAACCTCTCCATCCTCAGGTTGAGTGATAATACATTAAAATAGAATGACAATTATTATTCATGTTATGCAAGTAGTTGATATTCCTCCACATTAGAATAAACTTTCACAGTTTTGTAGTTTAGTGTATGAAAGCTGCATCACCTGATTCTAAACTTTTTAAACTACTATTTTTTTTCCTTAACACATGAAATAATTAAGATATATCAATGCTAAACATCTATAAACATCTCAGAGATTTTAAACACAGATATTATGCTGTAAAGCTGAAAAAAAAGATAATAAATTATTTAATAAATTCTACATACAGGTAGAGAAAAAAATATTTGTTCATTAGAAGTCAAACAAGACAAGATTTTTATTTCTTTTAGTATGGTCAAACTTAAACAAGTGATGCAGCTGATCGTCTATTGCTGTAAAAGACTGTTAGAAGTTAGTAGCAATTTTATAATATATGAAGTTTTGTTTGGAGGATACTAAAAAGTATTGTTTCATAAAATTCTGCTTATCTAATTCTAGTTTTTATTAAACAGCAATTAAAACAACTTAGTTAGATGTGAACTTTCAGGAACAAAAAAAATCATGAGAAGTTCAAAGAGGTATCTTTCTTTTGATAAGTTTTATAAGTACAAAAATATAGGAATAATTGCAATCACTGTATTAATCATTCTTATTCTTTAAGATCCATCAATTTAAATTTTTGTATGTATGTTTATGAAGACTAAGTAGAATGCCAAAACTTGAGCATAATAAATAAATATTTTGATTGAAGCAAATAACTTGGGATTGATCATCACAGCTTTAATATTTTATAGATCTTTTCCATCTGAAAATAAGTTTCTACTTATAGTATTACATTATTTAAAAAAATACAGGTTTCGTCTTCCACTACCTCCATTAGCTTTTGTTTGATAAAATCTTTTCCTCTTCTTCTTAGACATCCTTGTACCACACATACCTGTAAAAGATCAAAACTTATTTTACAAATCACTACTCATAGTTCACTTCATTGGGAATTGAATTCTATATTTCAAAATTATGTCCAGTAAAATGATTTATCCAAGAAAGATTGTGCTCCACATGTTTGTTATTCACATCAAATTTTATTTTTAATGTCAATTCCTCATTTAATATTATACTTGGACTACTGACAGTGATTGCTCACAAACGTTCAGGTTATGTTCCTGATTTTTATGATTTCTGTTGATAATGTAATGACTGAAATAGTCAGAAATTTTGCCATTGTGTAACTAGTTTAGAATATATCTTTATTCAGATATATTCACATAATATTTTCTAAATTTCCTTACAGTTTCTGCATGTATTTATAACATTCCCATTGCCCAAATGTCTACTGGTGGTAAACATTTGTTATTCCTTCTATACATGCAAGTAAATAACACACGTTTAAAGAAAAACACAATGTTGAATAATATGTAATAAGTTTAAAAATGAGACTGTTCCCAGTCTCAAAATACAGGGTGGTCCAAAATTATCTTTCCTATTTTAAAATTTAATTATCAAATATCTAAGGAAATACAAGCATGCAATTTTCAATATCTTGTAGCCCAACACAAACAAGTAGACTTCTATGTGTGCACCATTAGTGGCTCTCAGTAGATCTAACCGATAGTCCATATCAGTCCGTGATCGCTGCAACATGTCCACAGTTACAGTGTGGGATGGCATCCATTATCCTAGTCTTTAGCTCCATGACGTTTGCTAATTGTGTGTGATACATGTGCAATATCCTTAACATACCCCAAAAGAAAGAATTTTAAGGGAGTGATGTGTAGTGAATGCAGAGGCCACAGAACTGGCCGACCATGACCAATCCATTGTCTCGGAAACTTCTGATCTAGGAAGCATCTGACCAGCAAATTCCAGTGAGGTGCAGCTCCATCCTGTTGAAAGATTGTCCATGGTTGCATTTCCTCACATTTGTGTGACCACAAATTGTTCTAGCACGTCAAGGTACACATTCCTGTTAACAGTGCTCTCAGCACAAAAGAAAGGAACAATAATTCTGTCACCATTGAAACTGCACCACACATTCACCTTTGGGCTATCATGCACAATTTCAAAGTTGTCATTGGATTTTTTCAATCTTCCAAATGTAGATATTATGATGATTTACTTTACCCGAGGTATGCTCAGTACAAAAACTAGAAATATCTTGTCTTTATCTATGCATCTATGGAGGTTCACCACAAATGTCTTGCACTTTGGTCTGTCATCTGGTTGCAGTGCTTGTACCAACTGAAGTTTGTAGGCATGCAGATGAATTTATTTGTGAATGACATGGAGCAGAGATGGTTTTGGCACGTTAAGTTCTCATGAAGCATGCCAAAGCAATTTTCGTGGGCTACGCTGAAACAATCATGTATATGTTTGATATGTTCATCACTGACAGAGAGTCTTCCAGCTTCTGGTTGCTGTAACACATTGCCTGTCTTCAAGAGCTCCTTCATCCACTCCTGAATAGTTGGTTTTGATGATGGTTCTTTCTTGTACTGGTGTCTGTAATTATGCTGCACCAGTTACTGACTTGGTCTCTGCATGCCAAATGAAGAAAAAAACATGATAATAAAAACTGTTTGAGTTGGGCTACAAGATGTTGAAAACTGTATGGTTGTATTTCCTCAGTTATTTAAGTATTAAATTTTAAAATAGGAAAGATAATTTTGTACCACCCTGTACAATAAAAACATTATGTTTTCTTGCTTAATAATCTACTGTAAAAAGATCAAATACTGTGAGACTAGGAATGGTCTCATGTACTCTACATGTCTTGAAGTCTTACTACAGCATCGTCGGGATAGAAAAATTTTGTAAGAGTTAAGATGCAAAAAGCAGTAGGAGTTGAGACATTGTGGGTGTAAGCACTCAACTCCTAACCCTTAACTGATTTTCAATAGATGCTGCTAGTTTAACATCACCATCTAATAGATGGAATATCCTCAATGCATTTGGGTGCTATGACCACAGACATTATCCATTATGACTAAATGTTGACAACTAGGACTGATAATGAAAAATATTTGTTTAATTTTAGTTCTATTGTAATGTTTGTTTTATATTAAGTTCATTATTGTTTTATAGTGCTGATTTAATCACCTATTGACAATTAATGTAACTGAAAGTATTAGAAATATATATATACTTCCTCTAAAACCACTTGATCATATGTACATATAAATTTAACTTAAAAGACTTTCATGTACACCATGGTTAAGAAAGTTTAACTGACTTTGCCTCTTACCTTAACATTGACAATTCTATTAAATATACATATGAGATTGAGAAAAATAACTGAAATAACAGAAAATTGGAAATTGCTATTTACTGAAAACCATTCTTGGGAATCATGCCCCCACATCAAAATTCATGTCACACTAATTCTCAAAAAATCGTTGCTTTTTATTCTTATGTGGAAAGAATTTTAAAATTATGTTGCAAACAGGAAGATACTAACAACAAGTTATTGTTAATTAAGTATGTAGCAGTAGAGAGAGAGGTATTAACCTTGACACTGTCAACAAAGCTGTCATGAAGTTAAAAGAAAAAAACGGGGATGAAAATATTACATTGAACCCACTCACTGAAAAATAAAGAAGAGCTTGTATTACCATTTGTACCTGGTTTACTTTGTTAAGTAATGCAACAATTTAAAAAATACAGTACTGATATATAGATTGATGAACAAGGTTAGCCAGATTCTCAATAAATCTAAAGATAAAAAGAAAAAACTGGTATATACAAAATAACATGTGGATGTGGGAATATTTATACAGGACAAACTAGATGATATTTAAAATACAGATTAGATTAACATAAAAGATATATTAAACATAAATACAAAGATCCCACCTTTAGCTGAACATAGTAATGAAACCAAACAAAGGATTCAATGACAAAAAAAATTATTTTGGCATAATCTGCAAGTATTAATCATAAAAATATCCATGAATAAACTGAAATAATCAAATTCAATAAAAATAATTTTAAAGTATTAAATACGGATGAAGGACCTGAAGGAAATGTTAACTCTTGAAAAAAACATTTCACTCCTGATGCTGACTTCAAAACCAGTAGTGTATGAGGTTGTTCCCAGTACTTTATCTTTACACATCGATTTGTTAATTTTAAAATAAGTGATTCTTTAGACACTTGTTTTTTTTCTTTAAACATTTATGGTATTGAAAATTTACACAAGTGTTGTCTTCATCTTAATTTACAGGCTTCTTACAGCAATCAGTCTCAAGCTAGCATGTACATGATTCTTTATGGACTTCTTGGAAGGTATCCTATTCAAATAGGCAGTACAGGCTCTTGTATAATTGACTTGGCTTAATACTGCCTGTAGACCATTGGATGAAGAAGTAACCTGTGGATTTCTGAAATATCCAAATTTCTTTATTTCCCCAGATAATTTATATTGGGTTTCTCCAAAGTTCTGTCGCTTGTTTTGCATTCAGCTCTTATCTCAGGATCCAGATAATAGTCATACGGAATAGGGAGCTAAGCCAGTTTTGGTGTGTTTGTTAATAACAAATTTTGTGTTCAATTTATTCTTTCCTGAACTACCATTTTCAAAAGTTTAGATTTTCTGCTGGACATCAGTGTACCCGATTACCACATATCAAAATTATTAAACATATAGCTAAATCTCCTGTATTTTCCATAACAGATGCATATATTTTGTCTATATATTTCTAAATTAACATAGTCTTTACTTGGACTAATAATCTTTTTTAACATACTATCAACTTTAGTCTTAAGAATCATACCTGTGCTGTTGTTATGTCTCTTAAATAATATTTTTAATTTTAACACTACTTTACAGAGAGCTCACAAACCATTCATCTCTTTAAAGAACAAAAAACATAATACATTTAAATGTGACAATCTTTTGAACTTGCATTTTAGGTTGAAGCAGAGCAAACAATTTAGAAATTTTTCCACTGAATGACAGCACTGCTGTTTATGCTTAGATTGTGTAAGAATAAAAGAACATGCAGATTTGTTAATATTATTATGAATCTTTTTAAAGATTTATTCTTTGAATACTTAACCTGTTATGTTAAACATCTCTTGGTATTAGTTGCATATCCACAGATTATAGGATATTTTGTAAAAATTAATGTAAAAACTTGACTCTGTGAAAAACCTATTTCTACGAGAAAAAAGAAAACCATATATTGAAATTTGAGAATTATATATTGGATAACAAATGTGGAAATATACTGCAACATTACCCTATACATTGCATCATGTTCTGTGGTAGGAAGGTTAATTTACATACGAACAAACAAACTTATATGCCCCAAATTTGGGCTTTACTATCAAATTATTATTTTTTGCTGTTTTACACATTTTAATAAAAGAAACATAATTTATTCCCCTGTATACAACAATATAATTAATAACACTAAAACTAACCTCTTGAAAGCTTACAATAAATAGATATTGTGATAAATAAACACACAGTTCATATCCATGGTGTTGCTTCATCCGAATTAGTGTTTTGTGTGTGTATTAGCAAAGCTATAAATATTTAATTAAAATTGATAAGTAATTATTTACATCTGCACATAGACAATTGGAACAGACATGGCCTACTGGTTAATGTGTCAGCAAGGCTGTATTAAGGATTTGCAGAGTCTGGGGCAAATTTTGAGCCCCCCTCAGAAATGATCTTAATTAATAAGTAAAATACAATTCAACACTATTTATTAATTACAGTTTGAGCAATATACAAACACTAGCAAGAGGTAAATAATACATAAAATGCTAATTCTAATATTTATAATGAATATAAAATAATTACAAATAATTTTCATTAAAGAGCCAAGCAAATATTTATGAAACAATGAGCTGAAAAATGTGTTAATGAAAAATTACAAAATAATAGGTTTATACAAAATAAATAATACTGCTGTTGTCATAATGACACAGTTACAAACATATTTCAATGAGACATTCATTTTTTCATTAAACTTACTCTTTTCTAAGTTGAAGGGTTCTTTATTCCAGGGTCCTGGGGTATTTGACCTCCTTTAATCAAGCTCTGTGTGCCAGGCTGCCAATCACATGGCCCAAGATTTAAAATACATTATGCCCCTAAACATACTCTACGCTTTCAGCAGTGTGTACATTATAAAAGTGATAGTCCCTCTTGTTGTTATTTGGTTCAAAGAGTTGGACAAACTCTTAAAGGCAGAAAGTTCTACTAGTTAGCTGCTCTTCATCTGGTTAGCAGTTCAAAATTAAGGACAGATACACCTGAACCTTAAACGTTTCTGACTTAGCTAACTTTAATTTAATCCATATATCTATATATAAGGTGCTGCTCAGGTTGAAAATTCCAATTTCACAGACAACTAGTGATAAAATATTTCAATATTTTATTTATATGAGTATTAAGTCAGGTTCAGCTATTTCTAAAATAGCCATCACTCACTTGATTTAGTGGTGAAGTCAAATTCTGGCCGTACAAAAGCTCTTCTTCTTTCCTCTAACTCCTGGGATGGAATTAGTCCAGTTGGACCCTTAGAATCCAAAATCCTTGCCTTTAACATAAACACAGGAAAAAGTTGAAAACAACTGATAAAATTGCTTTGTTGGTGAAAAGACTAAATAGTATGTGATAAGACAAATACAATAAGCTGAAAATTACATAATTGAGAAACTAAAGACATTGATGTGAGTTCTGAAAGATAATATTCTTCATGTGCTATAGAATATCTTTACGTTTTAAAATATTAGGTAACAGTTTCATTTCTTACATGTTGCAAAGAAATATTCTCAAACTATAGTATTGGAAAATTTAATACATATATATATTTTATATATTAAAACTAAAGAATTGTTTGTTTGTAGTTAAGAACAAAGCTACACGAAGGGCTATCTGTGCTCTGCTCACCACAGGTATCGAAACCCAGTTTCTAGTGTTGTAAGACCACAGACATACCGCTGTGCCACTGAAAAACAAGCTAAAGAAGAAAAAAACTAATTCACTCAGGGAATCTCATGTTTACTCTTAACAATTTGCTCGAGACACAAAATAACATTTTATCTGTGTATATTGCTTCCAGAAGATTAGTAACGTGTGTTGCATGACTTTATTTCACATTCCACCTTCTTGCAAAAAACTGTTTAAAGATACTATTTTTTTCTTTTAGTATTTGAAAAAATACCACAATGGAATTACTTTCAAAATTACATGTAAATTAATACTTTTTAATGGAACTTTAAAAACTCAATAAAACTTGTGGAGTAGTAATCAACACATTGGAGGTAAAATATATACATATATAAATTTACTTTGAAACCACCACATATAGTCAAATGTGACATTTATAGTCAAATGTGACAATACAAGTTTAAGATGCTCTGGCTGCTAGAGAATGTTCTAAATAACTGGGGATTTTAAAACTTTCATAATATCACCTTGCTGGAAACTACAAAAGCAGTAACATGGATTTAACTTTCTTTCTTTCTACAGTAAATTTATGTTTTCATTATGCTATTACTAAATTACTGAGTTTAGCATGCCATTATGTGAATGTGTGTTGTTTTAAAGTTGACTAATAAATTTGTAGGCCCTGTGTCAGGTTGAATGGATTTTACTTACAGTGAAATGGTAGGTCTGCAAAACAATGGGCGATTTGAAAAATATATTTATTATGAAGTAATTCTGTGTTCTTTGAGTAACTGAGTTCATGAGAAGAAATAAACAGACTGGATATGATTTGATATAAAAATTCAGTGAACAATTTTTATCATTTACAAACACAAACATAGCGTGTGTAATTGCTTGGAAAGACAGAGTCACTTTTATTGGATTAAAACTACTTTCTCTCTTTCCCAACTGCTTTGGTTGAGATAGTATTCCAGTCTGATTAAATTGCACATTACTTAGTTATATGGTAATACCATGTGACTGGTCATTCCCACTCAAACATCACTTGACCAACCAATGGAAAATACAATTTTACAGCCATACTCCCACAAGCAGACATGGTGTTATCTCAAAAGAACAAAGCAACTTATTATCTTTACTGACAACATGTTATGAAATGTGCACATACACCTAAATAACTGAATAATTTCAAAAAATTCTATAGTAAAACAGGAAAGTAAAAAGTGCATGGTATGCTAGTATACCACACATTTTCTCCCTCCCTCCACTTTTAAATTTTAGAAACATTAAACCTATACATGCACACTGATAAAGGACTATTGTAACCTTCTGTCCCCTGTAAACAAAGATGCAATTTAATAATTAATTTTATGTAATAATATCTTTTAACAATGAAAAATAATAAGTAATAAAAACTTTTTGTTGTTAAAAACCATTTAACAATGAAAAGTGATACATGTTTAAAAACTTTAACAAGGATCACATAGTCAATAAACATAATAGAGTCTTTGTACACATTTAACCACCACTTTATACACTAGAATAATGGATAAAACAATTATAGCAAATCACTACAATAAAAATAAAATATACACATATTAATACAGGTACCCTTAGAAACCACAATGCAACATATTAAGAGAAGAACATATAAGCAAATAAATAAAATATAACCTTCAAATACATATAAATGTAAAATATAACTTAGAACACAAAATAAGCCCTTTAAATACAGAATGTGTAAAATACTACAAGAATATTAATACATAATTACAATAGTGAACCCTTTAACAATAATATAGCTTAAAAATGATTTACAACAGTGCAATAAGAAACCTTTCATCATAAAATCATAGTAAACAAAAGAAAACCAAAATTATTTCACACTCCATTTCAATAAAAGTAAATCCTTAAATGATTATAATGCTCAACAAAAATTCAAAGATTAACACACATATATACATAATAAATATACATTTTCATGTAAACGAAATTGTCACCTTATTGCATAGACAGTAATAACAATAGACCCATTAAACCAAGTAAAACATAAAGAATGAAGGAAAAAACAGAATAAATTAAAAGTACACATTAACTTCAACAGCAGTGATGAGGTCTGAATATCTTCACCCTCACCTCTAAAGATGTGGTGGATCATAGACTAGCTTTTTTTAGTGTCTCTAATAATCTCCCAGGTCTGGGACAAAGCTCATATAGTAGTTCTGGGTAGATGGTTAACCTAAGACTAAACCTTGGTACTATGTAAGAGTCTGGGTAGGACAGTCTGTTTGAGGTATATCTACTGCTTCAGATTTCTTACTCTCATACAACCAGTTTGATGTCACTACTTCATTCCTTCACTACAGAAATTGACTTGGCAATAATGAGAATATCTCTCATACACTAGTGGTGCCTTTCCACAAAATCATCAATGAGGATGTTCTCATGATGCACTGAAGCCATTCCATGGTATGCTTTACCATGGAAATGGCAAAGATCATTTGTGTGAGTGGCCAAGTTCTCTATGGTACCCTTCTTTTAACTTGACACAATGGATTGCACAATTTTCCATCAGGTAGAATATTCAGAGCAACTCGACAATGACTGTCTCACAGTCACAATGCTATACCTTTCAAGTACTAGGGCTGGATAGTCCAGGTTCAAGGTCAGCCTGCTCTATAAACCCTTCATTGCAAGCAGTTTACCCGTTTGAACTGCTTCAGGAGATGGTCCAAATCTTCCTTTTCTGCACCCTTGAATTTCAGGAGCAAAATATGTTTTAACTTGCACATATGCACCTGTGGTTGTAGGCAGAACTTTCCCTCATGAACTCTTAGGCATAACATGACTAAAATGTCCTGAATGTTGTGGGTATAACATGCTCAGGGAGTCCAACTTTTAAATGAGTAATTGGTCCCTGTTCCAGAGTGACAAAGCAACCATGATCTATGGTCACCTAAGATACCTTCTAATTTAGAATGCTCACAACTACACCATGGTTCACCACTATTGACCATTTGATGCCTGCCATCTCACATGCTGGTGAAGGGGCTCCTGTTGGTGAATATCTTTCTCCAATGGCATCTCCAGTCTCTCCTGTCTTCTTTGGGTGGCTTCAACCAGAGCTGGGATTAAATCACTCCGGCTGTACAGACTATTCCATTGCCATACCAGTGATACAACCCTCAGCTTAACTCATACTGAGGTCAATCCTCAGGGAGGAGCATGGTGCGCTAGACATTGACAGCTCTCCTTCCTGAGTTGTAGGCTGCAATTAGAAAGAAGTTATGGACATTTGTAGCATTGCAAAAGTCCTACATAAAGAAGAGAACTTCTCTCAGACTCAAAAATTCTCTCAAATAGCTACTTCTCTTTAGTGATGACTCTTCTTTTTGGTCATAAATCTTTCAAGTTGTGTAAAATATCATTTCCTCAAAAACAAAGGCTTTCTGAAATTAATAACTCAAGAGTTGTACTAAAGAGCAATACATACACATCAGCAGAAACTCCACAATAAGATATTCTGTGGTCATGGCACCAAAAGTTTCTCTTTCCTATCCATTTTGTAGAATGTACTTTCAGGTCAAACTGATTTTTTTTAGAGTGACAAACAAGACAGTTCTGTAGAATAAAGAAAAATTTGAGCAAGGTATTTATTACAAAGTAATTCTGAGTTCTTGGAGTAACTGTTGTATTCATAAGAGGTAAATTGAGAATGGATAAAGTTGTATAAATATTCAATGAATAGTTTTTATTATTTACAAGCACAAGCACAGTGTCTGTGCTTGCTTTGAAATGGTCACTTTTATTGGATCAAAACTACTTTTTCTCCTACCTGCCTTGTTTCAGATCTTATTCCAGTCTGAATAAATCCTATGTTATTTAGTTAGACTTTGGTATAAAACTTACCCAGGGTGAGTAGTACTACCCATGTTACAGGTCATTCCCATTAAACTTAAGGGAGGTCTTAACCTTGAGGTATCACCTAACTTACCATTGAAGGACACTGCTTTATATGTTCATGCATAAGAATAGACCAAGTGTTATATCAAGGGAATGACAAATAACAAAGGTAGCTTAAACAAAGCAACTTAACAAATTTCTTGACAAATGTGTTATTTGAAAGGTGCAATAACCTGAATAACTAACAACTTTTGAAACATTCTGTATTAAAACAAGAAGGTACAAAACGCTTAGTAAACCTACATACTATACCTATAATAATAATAAGCTTCATATTCATGCAAATGTATAATCTCCATTCTAAAACCTGGTGGCATTTGGCATTTTTCATTCAGTCCACAGTAGGAGGAGGGATACTGGTCAGAACATATGTGATGTGAGGATTTACTTAACTGGACCATCTCCAACCAACATCTGCCCCCCCCCCAAACGGGAACCACAACTGGGGGATGGTAGGTAGGAGGAACATCTCAGTCTAAGAGGCAAACTAAGATATATATATATAATCGTAACACGACAAAGTGCTTTAACCAAAACCTGGTGGAATCTGGAACTGTACATCAGGTCTGCAGTAGGAAGGGAGTCATGCCATCAACACATGATTCTAATCATGACTGGGCCATCTACAACTAACACCAGACCCACCAGGAATGTACATCCAAAGAATGGTAGGAAGGAGGAATGCCACAGTGGGAAAAAGCAATCTGTCAGATATATATACATTAATATACAGTGTAGTGCTACAACCATAACCGGGTGGTATCTGCAATTGTACATCAGATCTGTGGTAGGAAGTTCTATACATCATTGATACATGCAGAATGCCACCATCCTATTCTAAACTAAGTGGCATGATGCATCACTCAGGAGGACAAGCCTCCATGGTCCACCACCCCAGCAACTAGGAAATAGTAAGTGGCAAGGACTCCCATTCTCCACTAGAAGAAAGAAGGAAAAACTTGTTAGAGAGTCCACATGCAACAGGTGACCACAATACCCTATTTTGAAAAGCAGAGCTACTACAATAACAGAGTCAATCAACCAACACCCAACAGCATCTAGAATTATATGTCAGATCTACAGTAGCAAGAGGTTCAAAGCCATGGAGTATCAGAGATGGGCAGCAATCCCTGTTTGCTTTACACATGTGTACATGAGTGTACAGTCTGGGACAAACATATTTATGAAGCAAAAGACTACTAAAGAGAACTACTAGCAGGCCTACGAAACACCCAATCTCTACAGTATACATAATCTAATCCTGCAACATAATTGTTTCAGCATAGATGACACTTGAATGGAGGCAAACAACCAACATCTGGCAGCATCTGGAATTGTACATCAGGTTTGTGATAGGAAGAGCTATAACATAACTGCCATCGAACATGGTCACAGGATAAGCAGTGCAAATTTTCAACAAAACAAAAGTATACCTGGTCAGGCACCACTTGCTGCAAAGTTGGATCCACAATAAACTAGCGAAAAGGAAAAATGCTCAAGTAAATAAAGAAATAACAAAAACATAGTAAAGAAAAGCTACATCTGTAGTATAAAGGAAAATGTTGAGAAATTGAGAGCAAAATGAAGCATGTCTGTTCCATACTATTGCCAATCAAAAAGTGATTATTAAGTGCAAATGTGGAGAGGGTGCTGTTACAATAGGAGTTGTGTCATGCTCCTATTAGTGGAGAGTTGCTGCATAATCATTTACATTTGCAGAAATGGGAGGTAGAAGGCTAACAGCAAGTAGTGAAAACTTGCACCAATAGAGGATAGTACTAATTGAGAAAATTATTTTGTGAGTGGATATGGATATCATATCGAAAAATATAACATAAAAAAAGCTCATAGCATGCACTTAATACAACTAACTGTATTATGGAATACTTTTTTTTAGAAATAATAATAAATGGACAGATCTTTGCAAAAAATGTCTTCTGTGATGAAGATAAAAGATAAATACATCCAGTTACATGACAATTTATTAAATTAAAAATATAATTGCACTGAAGCAATTAATATACAAGCAGAGGTCAGATCTGTAAATCACACAGAAAACTTAAAGGTTTCATATTTACCTGCCACCAGTTTGGGTCTTGTTGATTCAAAATTTCTAATATATTTCCTTGCTTGAAACTTAGTCCTATTTCTTTACATGGTAAAAGGTTGTCCTTGCTGGGATCATAATTATACAAAGCTTTGAGATAGCACTGTAACAAAACAAAGTTATATTTACAAATATGATTCCATATATAGTTACAAATTCCTGTTACCTATATACATTACCTTTATATGACAGTTGTTCTTGATAGTGTTGTAAATTGAAGCAGTGCATACTTCAGTGGCACCTAACATTTTGTTTTGCTATGAATAACAAGCTAAATTCTTACATAAGTTTCAATTTCAAAGAATATATGAGTAAAACATAGGTCTATTATATTTTTAGTAGAAATGAACTAGGATCGACAAACCATGCCAGAGCATACAAATGATGTTTTTATGTGTTTTAAAATACATTTTTTCCACATACATATGCTCTCTTTAGTATATGATGACTGTTATAATTATATAAATTTCAGTTTCTAACACAAGTAGGCCTTTGAAATAAATAGAAATGAACAATGAGAACAGTATATTGCATTTCAGGCTTCAGTAAATTTAAGCCTATAACCTCATAAAGTTCATAGGACTAAAATGATTCTTTAAGTATATGAAAGTGAATGTTGTATGAAATATCTACTTTGAAAGAAACTAATATCAATCTACATCTAGATAAAATAAATAATATAAAATATGCCCATCAGTGCCTACATAAATGCAACACAAGCTGTATTAGATAATCCACTAACATTGAACATTTCTTACAATTAAATCAGAATTTTGTGCAGTAGTAAAAAGCTCATCTGGGATATGTAAGAGATAGATCAAGGCTATTAACATAAATTGTTTTTCACCAGGAATAAATGAGTATAAGTAGAAAAACAAAACATTTTTTTACACAATGTGGAAAGAACACATGACATAATTAATAGCACATCACTCTAACTACAGTTAAGCAATTTTAAAGTTTGTTCAAAGGCAAAAACATTTTACATTAATTTTGTAAAAAAAAAGTGATGAATCATAAACAAGATACATACACCAATAGTAAATATTTTTTTACATCTACTGTTAATACCCAACATGATTGCTGATGTATTTGACTATGTTTGTATGAACTTGTTTCTCAAAGATAATACTAGTATTAATAATTTCAAAAGACAGCATTTCTGAAAAGTAACTATTTAATAGTTTCTTTGTATAATACATATACAATTAAATACTAATTTTTACATATGTTTTAAAACCTTAAAAATATGCAGAAATTAAAGTGCAATTTTTTTCCCAGTAAAAAGAAGTATGAGACTAAAGCAGTTAGAGATCCTTATAAAGTTATTTCCAAGTTTTTGAATAAGTTTAAAAATGAAGCTAGAATATACAAGTTTATTATATATTCTGAAAACAACTTACACGTGAGGAAGGAAAACTGTCTTGGTATGCAGACATAATCTTAAATGTTATACTTCCATCAATATTCTTAAGCTGTTCCTGAAGTTGTTGAGGGGTGTGAACCTCAACCCCATTAATTTCCATTATATTATCACCAACGTGAAGGAGACCTAAAAATATAAAAACTACAGTGAAAAAATGAAACAAATATTAAAGGAATTAACATAAATCTGTGTTTCATTATATATATATAATTTTCAGATTACTTAATTATGCTATCACTTACACAACTAAGTTTTTCAGGTCCTAATTTCAGTCATATTACTTATGTCAGGGGTTATCAATGGTTTATAGTGTAGTGGTTTTATATAAGAAAATCATCAGCCATGATTGTAGAACACACTGCAATTTTTAGTTACAGCTCAACAGTGTTATAAAAAAAAAAGATAATATCTCATTTTTCAAAACGTACACTTTCTAAATACGTTTGTTTTCACATCACAACTATGAAAATTAGCATAATTTTATTTACTTTCCATAAAGGTAATTTATTTAATGCAATGATGACAATATAAAAAAAGCTATATCTACTTAGTTGTCACTTCATGATACTGTAGTACTATTAGTTAAAAACCATTTTCCTGGCAAGTATCAAATAGAATCTTCTACAATAACTGCAGAGTTCACCAAGAAGATTTACTTAAATTCTTATGGCCAAGATACTTCAACTGAGTAAATAAACTGTGTAAATAACAACCTGGACAAGTTTTAAACAAACAAACAATACAGCAGACAGTTCTTCCTCTCCTTTCTAATACTGTTCAGTTTGAAGAGTTCCTTCTCTTGAGTTAGAATACCACAATATTAAATACAAAGTTCTCCAAGCCAAAAATAGATATTTACTGCAGCCAGACAAAGTGAGAGTTGTGTCAAGAAAGTGCACCTAGATTCCAAACATTAACTTGCTTTCTTTGTCCAGTGGACAGCATCACCTGGTGACATCTGTTCCCTGGCAGTATTTGTTAGTCATCAGTTTCAGTTGATATCATAATCAGCCAGCAAAGGATATTCTAGTTTCAACTTGCTTAAACCAGGCTCATTGTACAGCAGTGAAATATCTTTATGGACAGCATACATACTAGCAAACCTGAACCATGTTGTCACCATGACAGATTGAAAACTAAATTATCAATAATTTAGAAAAATTCTATGTTACTACAGAAATTAGGGCTGAAATTACTAGAACAAGATAATACTAGAAAACCTGAACCATGTTGTCACCATGACAGATTGAAAACTAAATAATCAATAATTTAGAGAAATTCTATGCTACTACAGAAGTTAGGGCTGAAATTACTAGAACAAGATAATACTAGAAAACCATGGTTAGAAGACCATGGTTTGCTTACAAACCACAATATTATAAATATATAATAGTAGATGCTAAATTAGTCAGCACATGTCTTGTGTCAAATATCACTGCATTTTGTAAGTTTTCAAGGTATGTTGCATTTGCCTCTTGATCCATAACTAATGTCTAGACTCTAGAAGAACCCAGTGGTAAACTATATATATATAAACTCCATAAGCAATAAACTCTTTCAAAGTTTCATGAAGAATTTTAATTGAATTATTAAAGAGCTAAATTTGATCCTGCTCAAGTAAATGCCTAAATTCTATGTATAAAACCTTATATCATTAGCTTTATAAAATTACAAAATGTATGTATTCTATCTAAGTATTTAATCATATTTTTTTCTAGATAGTGACATTATTGTAAACCTGATGTGGGAAAGTCATAAACTTGTACTATCCTCTAGCTTAGAAAAAGGTTATATACCATAATGAATGTCTGAAAGGCTTACAAATGCTTTACTATTTTTTCTGTACCATGCTCTCCTAGAATAAGTTCATACTGATTTGAAGAGGTAGCACAGAGATCTGTACAAGTTAATGCGAGTTGGGATTTATCTTCCTTAAATGTATATAACAAGAATGATTGTAGGATACCACACTAGAACGTTAGACTAACTTAAATGTCTGGTATTCTTTCTATTGTCTTCATCTTTTGCAGACATATGAAATCCTTTTTCTCTCTCCTAGCAACCAGAAGTCTTTATAACAAAAACAGAAGCTAGCCAGTACTGATAAAGTCCAGAAATATTTTATTTGTTGTATGAATAATGATTTTATTTATAAATACCATTTTATGAGATTTAATCCCAGCTATACCAACTAGGAGGTCAGTGGCAGCAGTTCGGTGGACAGTCAGAATTGTGTCTTGACTCTAGATCTAGTTCTTCCCCATCTGACTCATCCTGAACAGCCTGATAAGTACTTTCAGCTCCTTCCTTCTCATTTTCAGGGGTAGAGCGGGATAAAATAATGGTTTCATATTCACCTGATTCGATTACTTCCTCTTCTGACTATTGTCAAGCCAGTTTATCTTAAATTCATTTGTCACATATGGACACAGCTGGTCGACATGCACTACATACTTGCATGTGCCCCTCAACTGCTGTAACTCATACATTGATAGTCCAATTATTTTTAGCACATGGTGAGGTCCAATCCAGCTGGAGCTAAGAGGCTGCTTGTACATACCAAAGCCATGCTCAATCTCCACTTTGGTACATTTGTCTAATCATAGCACCTCTTCTGTCACATGGTGCCTTTTCCTAGCTGTTTGCATGCAAACTCATGTGCATTAATTAATGCAAACCTTAAACACTTTAAATATTCTTGTGGAAATTGTGGGACATCCACTCTAGCTGGAAGATTATACATCACATCTGCATGGAGCAAAACTTGTAGGCTGAACATGAGCATATTCTGTGAACAACCTGTTAATCTCTGTTCAGTTGTGTGGTATGCCATCATGATGTAGTGTGTTTGTCCCAGTCAGTTTGGTTGGGGTTAACAAACTTAGCAAGCATATACTTGACAATCTGTATTACCCATTCCACTAAACCATCAGACTGGGAGTAATAAGGTGAAATGCATGTCTTCACCTCACCCAACACTTTATATAACTCCAAGAACAGTTTGTTATTAAAGTTAGCTCCCTGATCTGTGTGGATCTCTTCAGGTGTTCTGAGCTGGGCTATCCAGTGCTCCTTAGCACATAAGCTAAGGACTGTGTAGGAGTATTTACCAATGATTAACCTTGGTCCACTTTGTGAAGTAGCTGATAAATACAAATATACACAGTTGATCTTGTTCCATATCTGGGAGTGAACCAGCAATACCCAGGATTATTCTCTGCAGAAGAAGACCAACAATTATTTGCTGGAGTTTATCCTCTTTAGGCCAACTTTTTTCTCTGGATGGCAAACACCATACAGTGCCACACCAGCACTGAATGTCTTGACTTGAATGCATCCATCATTGAACATTAGCACAAGTGCATGTAAGACCTTGGTAACCTCATTAAACGAAGTCTGGAGGATCTCGTGCCTCAAAGCTCTGGAGACCACTATCTGTTACACATGCTGAAAACCACTGCTCGGTGGTTGATAACAATGGTACACCTCACCTTTCTAAACTCCAACCATCCACTAGTGGAATCTCCTACTGTATGGCTTGTCATCACTATAGAAGAAATTATCTTAACTCTCACATGGTGTCCAGGATCAGGACATTCAATGAGTTGACAAGGTCTCACCATGCAGCAGGAAAATCATTCTGTGTTGCCGTGTTGTGGGCCCAGGTGATAATGCATGATGAAACCATGCTCTTCAAAAGCTGTTATCCAGCATGTTATCATCCCTATCTAATCAACCATATCAATATTCAGGAGCCATGAGAATATGATTATTGTATGCAATTCAACTTTATACTCCACCCTTAAACTGCCCTAATTCTACTACTGCTGGCACCAATGTCAAGCATGAAGCATGAACTCACAATTTTGCTGTGCATATATCAACACTGGTGCTTCTATATAAGCAAACTTCAGGGACTGGAATGCTTGCATCCATTCCTCACTTCACTGAAGTGCATCTCTAGTTTAGTAAAATCCAATAATGGTGAGGTAATCTTGGAAAACAATCATTAATATGATGCAAACCTAAGTAAACTCTAGAATTCTTGTTTGGGCATGGGTTGAAACCAAACTAACAAGATCCTCAGAGATTTCTCCTTCACCCACAAAATGACCAAGAAACTTCACTTCCATGCACATGAGCACACAGTTTTCTGGTTTAAGTTTCAAGACTGCCTGTTTTCTATATGCTGGAATATAATTTTCAGGTTCTCAGCCAAAGACTCAAATATGCAACCAAACACTAAGATGTCAATGTCATACATCAGGGCCCGGCATGGCCAGGTGGTTAAGGCACTCGACTCGCAATCTGAGGGTCGCGGGTTCGAATCCCTGTCACACCAAACATGCTCGTCCTTTCAGCCGTGGGGGCGTTATAATGTGACGGTCAATCCCACTATTCGTTGGTAAAAGAGTAGCCCAAGAGTTGGCGGTGGGTGGTGATGACTAGCTGCCTTCCCTCTAGTCTTACACTGCTAAATTAGGGACGGCTAGCACAGATAGCCTTCGTGTAGCTTTGCGCGAAATTCAAAAACAAACAAAAATAAAAAACAAACAAGTCATACATCAGACACTTCTTCTATCACAGTCCCTTTAGTGTATGCTCCATTAACCTCTTGAAAGTGGTGGATGCATTACACAGGCCAAATAGCACGCTGTAAAACTTGTACAAGCCATCTCTTGTATTTAAATCAGTCTTAAGTCTTTTGCCATCATCCAGCTTGATTTATCAATATCTGGATGCCAAGTCTAATGTACTGAACTAACAGGCCCTTAAAATAAAAAAATACATACATTTATTTGTTCATGGTAATGGAAAGGTGCCAGTGCAAGTTACCACATTCACCCTTCTACAGTCAATACAGAACCTGGGCATATCTCCTTCCTTCTTCATGACCAAACAATCTCTGGAAGTTGTATGTGTGTGTGTGTGTGTGTTTTGTCATAGCAAAGCCACATCAGGCTATCTGCTGTGTCTACAAAAGGGAATCAAACCCCTTATTTTAGCATTATAAATCTGAATACTTATCACTGTCCCACCAGGGGACAAAGTTGTATGATTCTATCTTTAAAAATATGTTGTACTTCAGTACTGGCTACATCTCTTATGCTCCAAAAAAGCTGCATGGTGGCTGTTCAGTTGGATGTGCATCACATGTATCTATGTGATGTTGTGTGACTATTATTCAACCCAACTGGCCATCCAGTTCTGTAAATACAGTGGTACATTCCCCAACAAGTTAATGAGCATACTCAACTAGCGATCTCAAATGTGTTTGTAACTATGTATATAGTTTTGCATATGGTACAATGGATGCAACCCTACCATTTCCACTAGCATGAGTTACTTCCACTTTGCTTACCATGCATATAAACATCCCAGCACATAGATGGATAATCAATTGTCCATAATTGCAGGACAACACTGGGACTTCATCCTTCCTCAGATAAATCATGGTCTGAGCTAAAACTACCTGCACTCTAGACAGGAAACAATGCATTTCGTATATTGGATCTATCACTGTGTTACATGTCACCAATGCATTAGACCAACTTTGTGGTAAACCACAGAACACCACTTCTGTACACAGGAGTACATCTGTTCAATCCACTGATCCTGGGGTTAATCTTGTCAAAAATGGATAATTATACCATGGAACATTAGTTCACTAGTTGTATAAGCAAAACTAACTGATAAGCTCTACAGTACATCCATCCCAAGGTTACTGATGTCAGAATCATGGTTAGAAATGACTATCTTCATTCTGACTATCTTCTAGGCATAATTGGAGTATGACCTCTCCATTAACATCTAATTTATTTTAATTTGCCAGAAAAAAAATTGTGTTAACTGGTCCAAGTGGTGGTATTGCTCAGATCACATGATATATCTTGAGATGTAACAGTGTTCTGGCCATTCTTATGTCAACCAAGAACTCTATATCTCTTCCTCATACTTCAACAGGCACATAACAAGATCCAAACAGCCCCAAAAGGGTTGGGCTGGGCTGACTACCACACTATTTGGTGAAAGTTATTTACTGTATTCCCACAAGTTGGTTACTAGACCCAACTTGCTCCTCTAGTTTCCTGGAGCTGTAGCAGCAGTATTAACTGTTTTCTCTTGGCTTTTCTGCACCTGTTGCACCATTGGTTAAAACTAATAGCCTTGTCTACATTGCCACATGGTAAGGTATGAGCAGTTTGCTCAAAAATGACTCAATGTTCCACATGACAAGCAGATACTTTGCTCCTTTCTTCTAGGGTAATATCCTAGCAGAGGCATCAGTGGCATAAGTTGAGACATTGATATACAGACCACTGAAGGAATGGGATAACTTTAACCATTCACTGGCTACCAGTGTGACTGCATCACATGCTTGAGATGTATGTGTCACTGTAAAACTGGCAGCATAATGTAGATGGCTGGGTAGGATGGTCTTTTGAAGGTGAAGTCACTGCAGCTGCTGCTACAGGCTTCTTTCTTTCTTGCAAATGTTTTGATGTTACCACCTTGTACAGTATTGTGACAGAAACTATCTCAGTAAGACCTCTGACACCCATGAAATGCTGCATTGTGTGTACCTGCATTATTGACATGGGATGATTGCTTGTACTTCTATCTTCAGCTGCTCAAAAAGTACCAAAGTACCAAACTGACTTAAATCCAGCATTCCTTCACAAGAAATTTCATATTTATCCAGAGTGGTTAGCAATACCCATATGACTTGTAATTTTCATTTTAACATAGGTGAGGCTGTGTAACCTTAAAATATCATCTGATCTACCAATGAAGGACATTGCTGTTGATGTACTTGCACAACATGCAGTAATACCATTCAGGTAGCTATAAGTAAGTCAACTGAACAGGTTTTTTGAACATGTATTATTGCAACTTGCATATAAAAGATAAATTCAGAATAGATATTAAAATATTAACCACTTTGAAAACATATATTTTATATCAAAATTTTTTCACATACCTTGCCGATCAATTATGCCTCCTGAAAGAATTCTTGCTATTACAAGATTATCACCTTCACTTTTGACAGTAACACCCTATCAAAAAATAAATTCACAAGCAAACATGAGGTAACCTCAGCTAAATCACAACCTATATAGTGAACAGAATGTGCACATGTTTCTATGACCTAATGGAATTAAAACCTATAGAAATGAAGTGTTTCATAATTTTAGTACAAACATACTTTGTTTTTGCAATTTACTTACAAGAGGAAGAGCTTAAAAACAGTAAATAATTCATGTATGCTCAGTTATTGTGCATTAAAAACAATGTATGTGTACTTAATGCTTCATAATCATTTCATTAGGTACAATTTTTGAAATGACTTAATCAAATTTTATCCCAAACTATCATTTAATATCTTCAAAGATTTTGCAATATATATGCACTTGTTATTATCAATGAGAATATATTGTAATTAAAATCCCCATAAAGGGAAAGTTTACAAAGTTATAGAATATATATAGATCCTGGTATGAAAACTTTTAATTCTAGAGTCGAATTAGTCAGTGATAAAAAAATCATTTCTAAAATATGCTAATTCATGTATTTAAAAAAATCTTGGTTCTAGAATCTGCTAATTCAGTAATAACAAAAGACATTTCTGTATATTTTTTCAAAACACCTAATTCAATATTTAAATCAACTCATATTTATAAAATCTACTGTTTATGAAAAGAATGAAATTAATCCATTTATAGACATAGGTTTTCAAAAATGTTGAATCATTATTAAAACTCAAAAGTTTACTGCAAGTTCTGATATATTTTATCCAATCAATAAAATAAGAAATGATTAATTATGAAAATTAGTAACCTGTGCAAAAAACATAAAGGTGAATTTCAGTTCTCAAACTTGCTTATCCAATAGTACATAAATAATAATCTTTGTGGTCCAATGAAATTAGAAATAGGTTTAGATTTTGAAATCTACTTTCCACTAATAAGAAACATAATATTTGTTTTAGGACAGACAGTTGGCAATCTCTTCCTAACTAAGAAACCTTTTGCTTTATTGTTGTATATTTGCATGTTTTATTCAATGATTAATCATGTTCTGTTTATACCAGGCCAGAGAAGTATTCTCAGGTCTAGGAGACAGCCCAAAAACTCAAGAGCCAAGTGTGCCTAACTTAACTTCATTACTGTTTGTACCGGGAAGTGGGGGTTACGTATATTTATTTACTTTTACAGCAATGAGTGCATGCTCACATGTCACATGATATCAACAACCATTTGAGAGTATTGCCTGAACTAACTGCTTTTGGACCCGTCTGAGTCTAAACACATGCATTGCTTGGTTGAATTGAGAGAAAGAAGAAAAAACGGTGTGAAATTAGTAACATGTTGTGCAACCTCAGAGCTTCATTCCTGAAAAAATGTGAAGAAGAGCTGAATCCACCATTAAAATCCTGGAAACAAAGTTTTATTTAGGACTCAAAGAATTCAAAAATAGTTCCAGACTTCCAAGAGTCCAGAACTGTTCTAGATTCAAGTTCTATTTAGCACAGCCCTATGCATAAATAAAATGGGCGAAAATACTAGGGGCCACAATGAAATTTTAAGTCACCATGGCAACCTGGCATCCAGGATTTGTCAAGGCCTGGTTTACACATAACATTTATTAACAAAATAAATGAGCTTTGATTCTACCTGTTGATTATCTCATTATAATAAGACAAAATGACACCAAGTGATTCATAAGCAACATTATATTATTTCAAACTAATAGCATTAGCAGTTTACCACATAAAGCCCATTGAGAAATATTTTTCATGCTATTCATAACTTACCAATGGTTCATTCAGTTGCTTACTTATCCCAACCATGCGAATGGCCTCTCCTGTCATTCCATTAGCAGCTGGTGGAAGAAGAAATGGCAAGGTTTCAGCAGGAGCCTGTGCTTCAAAGCTTTTGGTGGCAATACTATCATGGGCTTCTATCAATGCCTGAAAATAAACAAAAAACAGATATAGAATACATATTTTGTATATCCTGTCATCAAGAAACAAATATATCTAACCTACAGAACTACAAAATAGTTTCAACTAAAAAATTAAAAAAATTAAAACCAAGTGCATGCAAACAAATGTTAGCTTTCATGTACACTATAAGTTGTAACTGGGATAGCTAACTTGATATAGAAATATAAATCTACCTCATAATTTGTAACAACTACTAATACTTGGTACTTTATTTATAATACTGCTCCCCAATGGCACAATGGTTATGTCTGCAGACTTACAACACTAGATACCGGGTTTCAATACCCGTGGTGGGCAGAGCACAGACAGCCTAACGTGTAGCTTTGTTCTTAATTAAAAACTAACAAACAATTTATAATACTATGTAATGAAAAAATCATGTTAACAAACAGGTTGTTTTGAGACTTTAATCTTGTTATTTTATTTATAAATCCTTATTGTGTTGATCATTTTACAGCTACTTACCAATCTGTTTTTACCCCAATGTTAAAATATGTTTATATTTGTCTATAACGTAATTTTATCCAGTGTAGCACTTTTGATGTTTTTATTTCTTAGTTTCAAATGTCTTGATATATTTTATAATTATGAACAAAAACTTTACCTTTTTTTATAATCAAATACAATCCTTCTTACTTCAATAAATGAGCCTTTCATGAATTAACTTTCTTCAATAGTTGTTCAATGTTTCTTTATAGCAGTGTCCTAATTTTTATATGAACTATATTATGGAGAACTGTTTCATTTAAAAACGATAACTATAGATCAGCATATTACCTGTATGTGTGGACTATGCAGAATGTCAGCCAACTCCTGAGCAGGCTTACTACCCAACTCTCTACATATACCACTGACAACATGTAAAAGATCAGTGTTTTCTGTTCCCATGGGCTCAGCAACTCCACCAGTTTCCTCCAATCTGTCCTGCATCTTCAGTATAAGAAAACAAACTTCTTGTTGGTCTTAATTAATTTTCATCTTATTTTTTTGTTTAGTATTTTCTTTATTCTTTTGTATCACTAAGCCTAATGTTTTCTCTAATCCTCCCTCTCTCTCCTACACCTTCTAAATTTACTGTTCAGTAAAAACTGTAAGGATTCAACTACATTTCTTATTTTATAAAACATTAATTTTATTCAGTTAACAAAAATTAACAATATTTTACTTTAATAAACAAAAAGAAACAACAATCATATATGTTAATCTTTCTCATAGTAAGATTTTTAATATAGAAACTACAAGATACATTCAACAAAAAATCCTAACCTCTTTTTCTTTTTAGCCACAGTATAACGGCTCAGTGTTTTTTTCAAGTACAAACTTTTAGCTTACATCTCCATCTCTTGACTGATTTGAGATCTAATTACAGCCATGGTTATTGATAATTCCCTTTTGTTTTGCATTGTATAAGTATCTAATGTAATACATAAATGTTAAAGATTATTTTAAGGGTGTTTAAATTGATAAAACAAATATAATGTACGAGTCTGGAACTTAATATTCAAAAGATTCAGGTTCCTGCCATCAGTTACGATAACTAGTATAAATCTGTTTTCAACTCACTTTTACAAGAGAACTCATAACTGGTGAGCTCATCAAGCCTTTCAGGAAGATCAAGTCAGTGTCTTGTACTCCACATCGGCCATTAAGACCTTCAATGTTATTCCTAACATGTTGAAAAGCCGCTGTCAGAAAAGAAAATAATAGAAGAAAAATGGTTTCAAATATTAACTAGCTTTTAAATTAAGAACACATTTTTATTATAAGTTCCAAACTTTATGATATTTTAAAGAGCACCAAAAGCACTTTAATTCAAAGATGTTTTACTACCACAGAATTGAACAGATTATAATGAAGAAACATATTCACTACTGTTCTGCCAAAAGTAGCAGGACACCCCTTAAAGACATAACACAGCTCACCCAACAAGATCCACAAGTTAGCATAAAAATAGAGACATGTCATAGAAGTAGAGTAGTAAAGTAAAAGTAACTGCCAGATTACAGGATAGTACTAATTAGTGAATATGAGATAAATTATAGATTACTGAAAGTGTAAAAAATCAATATGTATAATTGTTTAATAAAATATGATTTATTATACATGAGTCCATTTAGTGCAGTTGGAAACTTCACACTGTGGCATACAACAAAACTTCAAATTGGCAAAAATGCAGTTGAAACATAAATATAAAATTTTTAAGCTCAGATGTAAAGAAAGTGCCAAAAAGTCATAGATCCAACAAATTCACAAACAATGTAGTCTTAAATGAAAGGGCAACATTTTTGAACCTCATTGCTTAAATGAAAGGGCAACATTTTTGAACCTCATTGCTTAAATGAAAGGGCCGAAATACATACTGAACCCCAAGATTGCATTTTGCTTGGTACAGTCAGGTAAGCAATAAATTTTGATGATAAGTGATTAGTTTCTAAGAGTGCAAATAGCTACTTCATCTATTCTTTGTGTGATGGTTGAATAAGAAACTAGACACTAGAGGTACAAGGTGAACATTATTTCAACAGTAACTGTACTTGCCAATTGTGAACAATATCCATGCCTGATTTCAAAGAAATCATATTACTGTCTTAACCAGGCCTCTTCAGAGTTAATACATAGCCCCATAAAACATCTCTGGAATCATCTCTAGGGTTTAATTCAAAAGGATAAGCCATGGCTTTTGGCTGAGTGGCCACAGTTTTTTGTGTGTTTTTTAAAGAAAATGATTCAGATAGAAATTGTCTACTTCCTGACTGTAGCCCTTATGGATCAGTTGGCAGAGCACCAGTCTCAGAATGCCAGTGCAAGCTCTAGGTCCTGTGTTTAAGTCTTGGTCAGAATAGAATACTATTTCTATAAAAACTGTTGGTTAAAATTGAGCAAAACGTGCAGCTCGAGTGTTGTATAACTAATTTGCTGATTTGAAGCTCGAGGATGCGCTTTGTTCAAGTGGGTGAGGAAATATGTAATGATTAAAATATGGGTTGTATGCTGGGGCCTGTAGCCCCAATAAACTCACTTGAAAGAATGCCAGTTTCAAAGGAGGGGTTCAATGAGAACTCTCCCTATCCTCACACCCAAGACAAAAAAAGACAAATTATCATGGCCATATATATGTGTGTGTGTATGTATATATATATATATATATATGGTTTCTGTCTACCCTTTCTTTCAAGTTAAAACATACTTAATAGAAATATCTTGTCATAATTCACATGGGAAAATTTAAAACACTTTTTATTGCTGTCATTTTACTCACATTTGTTATAAACTATCCGAACAGCAGAGACTAAATAAACTGTATATTTACATTTCAGTAAAAGATACACAAAGGATATACCGTTTGCTAATATTTAAAATGAGCTAGAATAATATAGATATAAGTAAAGAACGTTTTTATTCTATTCAAATAGTATTCCTTACTAATGTGTCAATCCAAGCCCATCCTATTTCATCTATGTTTGTATGAAGGCACTTAAAATATAAATTCACAACTTGTGAGAAGCATATCTCAGACAAAACCAGTAGCAACTGGGCTTTTTCATGAGACATCAATGTAAGAGAAAGAAAAATACCTGTCCTTAAAATCAAGTGTAATCACTATCATGATTGTGTGTATGTGTCTACAGCCAAAATCACCACGCTGTGATATTCTTAAGTATTATATTTTGAAAGATATCATACATATAACACTGGGTAACAACAACAAAAAATTTCTCTGCTACTAGAAAAAATGCAACTGCAACTGTTTCTGAGATATTTGATGATTCTGATTCTAAAAATCATGTTGAAAATTACCGATCACCTATAATTTTCGAGTTATGATATTTATTCTTTTTCTTTAATAATTTTATTTATCCATTACAAATTGCATTTAAGAATGCTTTGATAAGTTTCTTTCATGTTCACAGCATGAACAATTGGAATCAATGGCTTGGTGTTCCCATTGTCTAAAAGTACAGTTTTCAAACTAACTTTAGATGAATCAATAAAAAGTCTCCATTCCTGAGGATGATGTTCAGTACCTAATTCTTTCATTAGTGCATCAACATTTGTACAGAAACACAAAATAAATTGAAACTCTTGTTCTTGGAGCTAATAAATTTCATTGCTGTAAACGAAAGCCAAGAAGTTCCCAATGCTGCTTTGATTGAGACAAGTCACGAGTCAGATCATTCAGCTCTTCTTTTGTCATCAGATGAGACAGTTTACATTGAGGTGCCCCGGGAATAGAATTACTAGATGAAGAGGATTAAGATGATTCATTGTCTTCTTCACATGCAGCACTGGAACACCATCCCCATGAGGTACTGGTTTCATTGCAGATGCAATATCTGGATATTTTATTTAATGTATTGTTTAGTTTTGCCTGAACATTCAGAAACATTAGTCATGCAAAAATAACAATCATATATATATTATCTTTGGGCTCACATCATATCATGGAAACTGCAAGTGGCACACTTATAACTTGTTCTCTTCATATCTAGCTACTGTGTCAAGAGAGATGTGCAAACTATACAACACACATGTGGAGCTCAATGTTTTTCTTGTTTACCAAATTAATGCTCAAAATAGTGGTAGTAGGCCACTTTTACCTTGTGTGTGATGTTTTTCTTTTGTGAAACTGAAATATACTTTCCACAAAGTTAGCAGAAACTGTTTGGGTAATTTTTCCACTTATTTGAATGGGAGGCAGCCAGCATTTCAGAATTCCAAATGATTTTTTTAAATATATAAAATAATTTATGTTTATAGAACTAGAGATTAAATGGTTTCAAAAAACAAAGTTTTGCAGAATCTAATTATATCGCGGGTATGATGCAAGGATGAAAATCAGCCTTTGTTTAGACTGAGCACAGAGCATGGTAAAGTGACCAACTAGTTGAGTGAGAAGCAACTGAGAGAGAGACATCTGACTCCACTTCTTTTATGCTCAGTCGAGAGACTTCTCGAATGTTCTAGCAAACTGAGCATGCAAGGGTTTAGTGATTGCTCCAGTAGAGCAGATGAGTGTAGAAATGAAGCAAAAGTGGTGTAATTTGCTAATTTCATATTTAGAACAAATAGCATATATGAACAATATACTTGGAATTTTACACCAGTACAATACATTCAATTTTTGAAGTCATCAAAAATGTATGCCTTTTACCAATTAAATTGTCCAAATTAACTTAATTTCACAGCATAAATCTATTGTACTGAGTTGATTGCATGGTATTTCACATAGTACTGATCAACTATTGATATTACAATAAATCAAAATCCAGAGGTGATGGACATATTCTGGTTACATTTTTGTAATCAGCACCATCAAATTACTCTGAATAACTTGTGTTTTCTCCAGCAGCACATACATGAAATCATTTCCTTGCTTTCCATTATATTTATTTATGTACATCTATATATATATATATACATGTGTGTGTGTGTGTGTAATAAATTCTAAAGAAATAATTTCTAATTGTTGCTCAAAAATCTCCCAGTTAATCAGAAATTTATATTTTCTGCAAAAATGAGAACTAGCTATATCTCTGGATACAAGCTGCACTAGTGATGTTACAATAACTTGCAACACTGTATTTCTATTTTCCAACCATTTTCACTTTAGGGGATTCAAAAACCTTGTATGGTTTTTCATGTTACTTGTTAGCAATTAAAGTTAAGAATCAAATCAATTAATTAAATCATTAAGCTGCTGGTATAAAACTCAAGTTAGAAACAAGCTAGCAATATACTGTTTTAAAGCAGCAGTAACTGTGTAAGTAAAACAGATGCTATAAAACAGTATGCATGATACTTAAGTTAATAATACTCAGGAAGGTAAGAATACTCCCAGATAATGATTTATAGAATTGTTGGTGTTAAGTACTACAACAACAAAAGGCACTAACAGAATAATATACAAAATAACTAACCATGATAATTATAGAAATAAAAACACTTTCAACTCCACAAAAATATATTTTCTGAAACCCCAAAGTTCCATAGACTAACACTAAAAATCTTTAATACCTCACAGCAAAAAATAACAGTAACAGAGCACAATCTACACTTTCATTGTAAATATTTATAACCAACAAAATGCACTGTGTATGTGACATAATTTTGGTAAGTTAACCAGTGTAATTAGTGTTGAGTTGATAAATAAGCCTTTTCAGTATTTTTCTGATGTCAAATGGAGACAAAAAGTTTGTTTTGCTGATTAAAGTTACAATGATTAGAAATATTATTAGGGAACCACATACATATGCACACGGCTATACACCTATTTGTAGAACACTAATTATATGAAATAATGTGAGCATGTGATATGTCACGTGACTGCCTGAGCTCTATAAACACAAATGCAATTTAATTAATGTAACTGTCAGGGCAGAGGATTCTTCTACAGTAGGTGTCTGTGACTTGTTGGGGATAAATTTGAACAATAAACGGACAGCACACAATCCACTTATTTTAAAATAATATATTTAAAACAAGTCAAACTATGTACAAAAATTCTTTACGCTATAGATATCACAGTTGTATTTCAAACTCTAAATACTTATATTTTCTTGTAAAAAGCCCACTTGGGCTGATTCAATTACTTTAGAATCAAATTGACAAGAAGACAAGCTATTTTTCTCTGTACTTATCACAATAGTATCAGTGAATAATTCACTTACATTAGCTCCTCCGTAGG